CAGGGGTGAGTATTGAATTTCTTTCTTTTCCTCTCTCTCTCTCTCTCTCTCTCTCTCTCTCTCTCTCTCTGTCTCTTCTCCTTCTCCTTCCTCCTCCTCCTCCTCCTCCTCCTCCTCCTCCTCTTCCTCTCACTATGTAGCCCTGATGATCTGGAACTCACTGTGTAGACCAGGCTGGCCTTGCCTTGAACTCGCAGAGACTGCCTGCCTCTGCCTCCTGAGTGTGGAGATTAAAAGCACGACCACTACGCCCAACCTAATATTGAGAGAATTTTGAGGGGCGGTATACCAGTCACTTTTCTTGTTGTTATGATAAAATACCTGGCAAGAGCAAGTTAACTTGGAGAGGAAGGGCTCATTTTGGCTCACAGTTTGAGGGGACAGTCGTCACAGTAGGAAGACATGACAGCTAGAGCGTTCTCCATAGTGGTAGAGGAATCTGCTCACATCTGAGTAATCAGAAAGCAGAGAAAGATCAGAGAGTGGGGTAGGCTATAAACTTCAAGGACTTGTGCCATACCTTACCTCCTCCGGTCAGGCCCCACCTCCTGAGAAGGTCCCACGTCCTCCCTAGACAGCACCAGCTGCTGGGTAGTATGTTTAAACACGCTAGTCTGTGAGGGCACTTCACACTCTAACAGGGGCAGAGAGAGACAGGAAAGTATTCCAGAGGAGGACTGTGTAATTGGCACAACTGAGTAGGAGTCTGGGGTCTAGTTAGCAAGCAGAGGGCTTGAACTGTGAGGAACAGTGAGGGTCACAAAATAGGACAGATTGGAGGATGAACCATGACCATAGGCCCCTGGAGAAGCCAATGGGTCAGAGGGAGCCATAGACTCACTAAAGACTTCAGTGAGGCCAGGTAGGAACTTGGACACTTGACATTTTTATTACTGTTGCTCCCCCACCTATGGTGAGAATCAAACTCAGGCCTTGAATGTGCTAGACACATGCTCTACCACTGAACTGTCCCCAGCCCTTAAATTTATTATTTTATTTGAGGTTCCTAATAACCCCTGGTAGGTTTGTATCGGTCCCAAGGTTATTGATGAGAACATGGAGGACAAGAAAAGTGAGTAACAGAGTAAGCCAATGTGGAGCTAAGAGCCTGGCTCCTTCAGCCCTGGAACTCTTTTCCATTGCAGCATGTGTCTTTAAGCTGTTCTTACTTTGGGAATGTCTTCTACTGCCAAGCCAGGCCAGGCTCCAAGTCATTTTACAGAACACTGCCCCCACCCCCAATACCCACTCACTCTCCATCCCACCCCCACCCAAGGCACACTCTGGGATCAGTGCCTCTTGGGCTTTTGGATATCTCATGGCAGGGGAGGTGGAGTGCCAGGCCTGTGGTATGGTAGAAATGAATTCACATATTCCACCCCACAGATGCCATCCCAGGAACAGGTTGAAGTGGAAGTGACTGACATCTGAGGAGCTAAAGTTGCAGAATGTCTGTAGCCATGTCAGTGTATGGGTGTGGGGGTCGGGGAGGACTGGAGAGGGTAGAGAGGAAATCAGACTGCCCACGAGTTGACAGTTGCTGAGGTTGGATGGAGGTGCATGGGAGCACATTTCACTGCTCCTTTTAACCGCTGTATTTGGAAAATCTTCACAATAAAAACTAAGATAACTCAGAGGGCACCCCTCCAACACCCCACCCTGTACCAGATAAGTCAGTTTCTGGTTTCAGGCTTTGTCCGAGTTTAAAATCTCCTTCTGTAGGGGCAGAATCCTGCTGACACTCTATCCTCAGCATCTCTAAAACTTCAGGGTGGAGTCCTATCCAGCCTCAGTATCCTCATTTGGAAAATGGCGTCAAGATTCTAACAGTCCCATAGTGGTGTTGTCAAGGTTAGACAGGTAACATGTTGGCTGTAGTCCGTAACAAATGTGAGGTCACCACCCATAACGGGGGCACCATTTGACATCTCCACCAGAGGGACATGTGTTGAATAGATCTGAATAGAGAGGCTGCTCTGTGGCCTTACTGTTGGCTTACTGGACTTTGCCTCAGTTTCTCCATGAAGAACAAAGACAAGTAGAGATGCCTCAGAGGCTCCGGTGGAAGCAGGCATGGTGGCACACGCCTTTAATCCTGGCACTCAGGAGGCAGAGTCACACAGATCTATATGAGTTTGAGGACAGCCTGGAGTAAAAACAAAAAAAAACAAAAAACAAAAAACCCCCCCACATTCCAGGACAGCCAGGAGAAACCCTGTCTCAGAAAAAAAGAAAAAAGAAAGGCTCCCGTGTGGGCTGTCTCCAGGCCTTTGAAACAGCCTCCCAAAGGACCCTGGGTCCATCTCTGTATCTAGGCTGCCTGCTTCAGGCAGGAGATGCTTGTAAAGTGAAGAGTGGGCTGGACAAGAGGGACCTGCTGAAGCCTTGAGAGAGGCAGTGGGAGATTTTCAAGAATAGGAGGGTTCCGAGAGGCCTGTACCAGCCTTTGGAGATGGGGAAGTGTGAGTGTGTGTGTGTGTGTGTGTGTGTGTGTGTGTGTGTGTGTGTGTGTGTGTGTGTCACAGAACTAAGCACCTGCAAGCAGGAGAGGCGAAGGCGGCTTGGGTTCTTGGGATGACCACCCAGTCTGAGGCCTTTGGACTGGCCTGGGTTCCTGGTATTTTCCGGCTGTTGGGATCCGCAGTGCCGCCTGGTGGACACACTGGCGGTGCAGGCTCCCGAGGCTGACTGCTGCGCCGGGCACTCTCTCCAGCTGCAGGGAGAGAGCAGAGAAGCAGGGGAGGGGAGGGACAGCTCCAGGATGCCGCCGCCGGGAGGGGTGTGTCTCTCTCCTGGGAGGCTCGAGGACTGGGCCCATCCCGCGACACATAGTGACACCCTGCACCCTCTAACTCTGCGCAGGAGTGACTTGGCTACATCCCACATGTTGGGGAATCCTTCCTGCCCTTAACCCCCAGCCCCGAGGCCCTGGAATTTTGCTGCCTCCGCCTAACTTCTCCCGGAAGAGGGTCTCATTAAAGTTTTTAAGAGGTTTTATTTTGGTTAATAAACTGTCAAGAAGGGGCATGAAGGCCCGGACGTCCCAGTTGTCTTTCTGAAGGTCCCAGGCTTGAATTTCAGGGCTGAGGAATGTTTACACCTTCCCTGTCTGAAAGGGTCCTGGCGGGAAAGGATTAGTGGTCCAAAGACCCCTGCCCAAATATGCAAGGCCACGGTGGGCGCAACTTGTGAGTACCAATGTTAGCAGCCTGTGGCTGGTGCTGGTGAGAGGTTAGTCAGCGGCCTGGCTTTCAGATCCCATGCCACGGGCCCTGGGGTGTGTGCTCTGGTGGCATCATCTCCTCCTCAATCTGGTGGTGGTAGGGTTTGTCCAAGCACCTGGGGATGGTGAGCCAGCCATTCCCGTGCTCAAGGGTTCTCGAGAAGCCCAGACCAGCCTAATGTCTCTCCTCGGACCAGAACGGCAGTAGGATCGCATTGTTTGTTCCTTCTCCCAGAGCCAGCTCCGGTGCCAGGGTCTCAGGCTGCACCCTCCAGGGAAGCAGCAGGGAGGCCAGAGAGTCTCACTGTCTGCTCCTGCGGCCTTCTGGAGGTGGCTGGTTTCGCTCTGCGTGCCACCCGGGAAAAGGTCCCGTGGCGGTTAGACTGGTGCTCAGGAGGATTCGAATGGAAAAAAAAAATCTCAAAAGCTACTAAGTCCTGTGCAAATGGCACCCGGGCACGGGTGGTTGTTCCACGCAAGGCCTAAAATGGAGGGTAGATTCTGTGTGCCCCAGGGGCGACAGAGAGAGCTGGTGCCGAGGAAAGCCAGAAGCTCTGGGAACCCCTAAAGGCCTTAGTCCAGGAGGACGCGCTATGGGGTGCGTGCTCTGGGCGACTACTCTGTGGTCCCAGGATCCCAATGAGCGAAGGGTGTCCTGGGTCCAGCGCTTCCAACAGTTTTAAGAACTATAGCTCCAGCTAGGGCCTCCTGCTGCTGCTGCGACCGGGGCATTCCCTATGCCGTTCGGCCCGCGCTTCTGGCAGCCGGGTGGCAAAGCTCAAGTTGGGGAGAAGGCAGAGCTCCGCGGAGATCCACAGCCGGATCCTGCCTGCATGGATGCCCCCAAACAGCACAGATTTGCTTCGGTGAGGCAGAGCAGGACCGCTAAAACCCTCGCACCGCGGAGTTTAAAGGGGCTTCCGGGTTCCTAGCCCTGGAATGCACTCTTGCAACCCCGACTGGGCTACAGCACCCACTCACTGCGGAGGGGCCGGGACAGGGAAAAGCAGCCTTGGATTAGGCCTGTCACCCGCTCCGACTGCCGCAAGAGGAAGGAGCCAGGTGGGGGTGGGGTGAGCAAGGGTGTGAAGGGGTTTGGGGTAATTCAAGGTCCACAAAAAAAAAAAAAAAAAAAAAAAAAAAAAAAAAAAATTATTTTTTTAAAAAAGCAGAATTTACTTTGTTCCTGAGGGACAAGTAAGTCCTGCGTGCTCTCTCTAGGCTAGCAAATGCCTCCCTATCCCCGCTAGTTTATTTGGACCGCCTGCCCCAGGCCGGGGACGCTTGCTATATGAAGAAGGGAACGGACAGGCAGTCGCGCGTCCCCCGGGGCTCCGGTCCGCCCGGCGAGTCTCAGCCTGCTCAGCTCTCTGCACAAAACGAAACTCAAATCCACCCCCCTGGAAAAAAACAACAAAAATACTTAAAAGAGGAATTTAACAAAAACCAAAGCCTCTATTTTTCCTGCTTTCACTTTTCACAAACCAGCTTCCGAGAGATTTAAATAAAAACGAAATGAGCAATTAGCCAAGGATACTATCTTTCCATACTGTGGAGTCTCTCTTCAAAAACATTCCCCCAAGGCCAACCATTCAGACGGTCAGCCCTTCGGAAGCTCTAGCCCATTCAAGAAAATCACAACAAAGCAGTAGGAAATTCAGCCATGATCCTGGGCAGAAGGTAGCAGGGAGGTCCCGGGAACCCGCAGCGGCCGAAACCGCTTTCATAAAAGTGTAAAATTAAAAAAAGATAATAAGAAGTAAAACCTTTTAATACATCAAATATACGGAATTTTAATCTTTAAAGCGATACATTGTCTATTATTTTAGCACATGACGTAAACCTTGTCCCCTTCTCAGCGGGTGGACTTAAAAATTAAAAATAGTTGTGTTCCTTTGAAGAACAAAATAAGGCAAATGAGGTTTTGGAATAGAATTATTTTCCTTTTTTTTTGTTTTCTTCCAGAATACATACAAAAAAATACCCATTCTCTTTCGATGGTATACACCTTAAAAATAATTGCGATTGGAAATCAGAGTTGACAAATTGTGACTTATTTTGTTTCGTCTTTTTTCTTTTTTGTAACAAACATGCATGTAAATTTGAGTTTCAATCAGACGTTAAATAAGAACGCACAATACAATCATAGCAATTTTAAAGTAACATTAAAGAGAAGACCCTAGTTCTGTAGCGGTTTTGTTTTTTATTTATACTCTACAAGGGATGGGAGGGTTTGTTTTCCACATATTTACCCTCGAGTTTTAATTTTTTCCCCCTCCTCCTTTTAACCTACGGAGCTCAAACTAAATAATGCACTTTTGAACCACGGGTCCGCTTGGAGCTAACATAAATAAATACCAATGTTCACCGGCAAAGTCCTCAGATGAACACTTTCTCAATTATTTTTCCTTCTTTTTCTATAAAAAGTCAAATGATTTTTTTTCAACTTTTATAAAGTTTGGGGTGGGGGAGCTAGGGATGGAGGAGAAGGGTTCTCGCTGGCTGTTGTTGGCGAATAGGTAAGATTTAGGTTTCTTTTTCTTTCCGTGGCCCGGCTCCTGCAGGAGTCAGGAACCTGGTCTGGCTCCTGCCCCTCCCTCGACTCCTCCCCTCCCCCCAGCTCCTTTCTCTCCCTCCAAATTCCTCCGGGCTACCCTCACTGATAACCCAGCGCTGAGGCAGTGGTCAGTCTCTGTCCGTAGAGGGCGTAGGGGGAGTAGTAGGGTCCGGTGGCAGCGGGCACCGGCACTGGGGCACCGGGCGTGGGGAGCGGGCTCTTGGAATACGGGTGGTAACGGCTGCTGAGTCCCAGTGCATGGTGGGGGCTGCGCAGCGCCAGGGTCCCAGGACTGCCTGGTGCGCCCGACGTGGGGATGTGCATGTGACAAGCCATGGCTGCTGCTGCGGCGCTGGCGAGAGACGAAGAACTGGGGTAGCCCGACAGCAGTTTGTCTGTCCCAGGAAAGGCCGTATGGGTCCGCAAGTGGCTTAGCAGCTCTTCGGACGTGGCGAAGCGCTTGTCGCACGGCCCATTAGCTGACACCCAGTTGCAGATGTGGGGGAGCGGGTCGTTAGGGAGCATGAAACCATAGGGGTAGAGGGGGTGGCCAGCCAGGGAGGGTGGTGTGGCGCCCGCAGCGGCGGCAGCGGTCAGTGAGGAGTGCACACCGTGCAGTGGGTGTGTGGGGTACACCAGGGGGTATCCCGATTTGAGCGCTGCCGCTGCAGCTGCGGGATCATGCGCGCACGAGGCGCTGGCGGCTGCAGCTCCTGCCAGGTGGCTGGCGCAGTGGTAGCTGAGGCAGTATGGGTCCCGGCACAAACTGGCTGTCATCACGGACGGCGGCGACGCCCCGGCCAGGGGACTCGAACCGGCTGGCTTACTGCAGCAAGGAGAGCCGGCCGCGGCCGCTGCCAGCTGAGCCCCTACCAGGCTGCCAGGCTTGGTGGGGTCGAGCGCCACGCCGTGTGGCAAGAACTGGGGCGGGTAGCCAGCATAGGCCCCAGCCAGGCTGCCTGGGTAGGTCATGCCCGCCGGGGGTAGAGGGAACACTGTCTGGCCGGGCATGTAGGGAGACACGGGAGCCACCAGCCCAGAGCCCAACACCGACGACGAGGTGGGCGCGCTGGGGCCTGAACCAGAGCTGGAGCCGGAAGAGCTGCCGCAGTCCGAACCTAGAGCCTTGCCCCCTGGACCCCCGTCCGAGTGCTGGTTCACGTCCACGTT